ACTAATCAGGTCGCATTGCTTGTCAGTAGTGTCGTACGTAGGGGCGTTTGAACTTGATTTGGGCGGGGTTTCTAATCATCAGAAAGTTCTATTCCCCTTATCACGCATTATCGAATGGTCAAAATCGAAATTTCAAGTACACGCCCTCTTGTCCGATTTAGCGTTGGGAACACTAGAAAAGCTTTAGAATGTATACAGACAATTTGCTATACCTATCAATGTTCAGGAGTCTACGCACTCAGTGACACGTTTGATACTGGTTAGCTGGCCCTGGAAGGTTGAAGGCCCTAACTGGCTCGGGCAAGAACTGATCCGCTTTTCGCGTGTGCGGTAGCCGCGCCTCTTGCCACATCTCTACCTCGTTATTGGCACTACTGGGGGCAAGTCTTGACAGTAGCCAGAAAGATGTGACCAGAGCCCCAGCCAACACTTCCCAAACCCTGCTTCCCTCCTCCTCTCACAAAGGTTGAATTCCTTGACAAACTGAGAGAATCTATTCCTTCGTATTCTGGCTTGTGTGAAGTTCATTCCGTTTTTGCTATTGTAAGCTAAAATTTTCCTCACGATATCATTTTTTTCAGTTTCGTACTGATATGTGCACTTCTCGAGCGCTATTTGATTACTATACGATCTTCTTATCTGAAACGCTTTCAACGACATCGAACTGCAGCATGTGTGCTATCGTTTTTTGTGGCGTTAGTCGCGAAAGGTGGAATTTTTTTGGAGCTTGACGTCTTTCCCCAAGAAGATGAGTCATGTCAGGTGGGTCGATGGAGCTTTCAGATTGGGGAATTTCATGGAAACGCCACTACAGCCAATGGTTAGGGTAGGGACGCGCAACTGTGAAAGTTAATGTCCACAAATTTGACGAGCTATTTCATGGGGGACCGGGTTAAGAATGAGACTGAGAGGGCAAGAACGGCCCGGTAGTGTAATGGATAACGCAACAGCACGGAAAGCTGGAGATGCAGGTTCGAGTCCCGTCCGTGGTCTGATTGTTGCCCATAACTGAGCATTCTTGTGGTATTCGAATGTCGTTTTCCGATTTCCGGTTTGTCATCGTGGGTTCCTTTGGTAAACGGCGACTCGCATGTCGCCGCATGGTGGCAAGGGCGCGTACATTTTCCCGAACTAGTCACTCATTTGGGAATCGAGAATATTGCATATGCAGAAGCACAGTCCACGCTGGTCGTGTAGGGGTGGCCAGGCGCTGAGGCCTTCCCCTGATACGATAGACAGAGGGGTCATATTAGTAAAGGCGGAGCTCACAAATAGGGAAGCACAATCTGACTCCGCCAGCCGATTCAGAGTGGACCGCTCCTTTTGAGGAGACCACCATTATGATGGTTCATCAGGGAGCTGTGTCTAGTGGCTATTAGGTTGTCCGGAAAGTTCTCAGCGTTTTGGGTGTTTCACTTTAAACGATCGTAACTTTTTAATACTCATCGGATTTAATCGAAATAGGCACCATTCGAATCAGCACACTTTTGCCAATGTGACAGCAGTCGAGAAATCCCATCAAAGTAAAAAACTGGGTGGTCGAAAATTCACGAAATCCACTAAGGCTTTTTTGCCTGGTCCTGATTGATGAAGTATTTTCCAGCAAGGGAGTTCTGAAAATGTTAGAAAAGGTGATAGTCGGTTGGCGAAAGGTCTGAAGAATATGGCGGTTGAGGTAGAACTTCAACCCCCAATTCGTTCAATTTATGGATAGTGATTTGTGAAACGTGTGGGCGGGCGTCATGCAAAAGAATCGGACCCTTTCTGTTGACAAGTGCTGGCTGCAGCTGACGCAATTTTCGGTAAATTTCGTCGATTTCTTCACAGTAGGACTCTGCTGTGATGGTTTGGCCTGGTGACAAAAAGTTATAGTGGATCACACCAGGCCGATGACTACCACACTGTGACCATAACCTTTTTGTCGTGAGGATTCGGCTTTGGAAACCTCAGGGGTCCGCCGGCATCCAACCACTGTCCGAAACGTCTCCTGTTATCATACATGATCTCCTTTTCATCACAGGTGACAATTCGGTCCAAAAACGGGTCGTTTCTGTTGCGCAAAAGCAGTGAAGAGGAAACCTCGAGACGTGCCAATTTCTGCCGGTCACTCAAATTGTGGGGCACCCACTTATCGAGTTTTTTCACCTTCCCAATGCTTTTCAGACCATCCGCAACAGTGGATTTGCCAACGCCTAGCTTTTCTGCAATCTCTCGAACTGTTTGGGATGGGTCAGCCTCCACAAATGCCTTCAAATCCTCGTCAGGTATTGCTTTAGGTCGACCGCTACGAGGTTCATCTTCAAGGCTGAAATCTCCAGAACGAAATTTGTCCATTCATTGTCGCACGGTGCTTTCTCCAACACTAGTGGGCCCCCACACCTGGTTAATTTTTCGAGCTGTCTCGACTGCGGATTGACCCAATTTGTAGTTAAAGAACAATATCGTCCGAAGTTGCTCTTTTGACATGCTTGAAAAACTCTTGAAAAAAGGGGGTCAATCAAGCAATGGTGAAACGGCAATTATACCATCAGATAGCGCAAAGAATTCTCTTCAGGATGTACTACTGAGACGCAAGGGAGAATGAGTTTTTAATCAGCAATGAATGTACAAAAAATAGGTGCACAAAACGCTGAGAACTTTCCGGACAACCTAATAGTTTTCCACTTATGGAAAGGGTACAGCATTGGGGTGTCAGTGCCACCCTTCTCCCATCCTGCCTATCATCTTCCATGTTTTCCCAACTCCCCAACAGTTTCCCAGGATCCAAAACTTTTCCAGTTTTTTTTTCAAAGAAAGCAGCGTCTACTAGGGCTGTAGGGGGAGGGGTGGGGTGCAGGGCAATATATAATAGTAGTGGTATGTTCGTGCCCCCTTTAGGACGGCTATGTAGCGCACGTAAAGGGGAAAAGTCGTGAGAAGTCGAAAATTTTTTCGTTGATTGGGACAATTTCTCTCAAAACGAATTAGAACATGAACACACCCCCCCACCCCCTCCTCTTTCGCAAAGATGGGACTTTCGCGATGATGCTGTACTCTGTTGCCATTGCAGCGTGAGGAGTGGTTTCAGGAATGATAAACCACGACTAGATCATTTTTTTCTGAGAGTGGCACTCACTCTTTCTCACTATTCTTTATGTATGGCCTTATTTCTCTTGTTTTTTCCCTGTTTTAAGCCCTTCAGTTTTCAGAATACTGTGAATGAGTACTATGTGGACATGACTCTCATAAATTCAAAGCCACTTTATGGAACTGTGTATCGGTTTTGGATTCGAAATATTGTGACCGTATTTGTGCCTTTTTTTCTACTTACACTCATCAACTTTCGAACACTTGTCAGTCTGAAGGCACAATTGAAGCAGGCCAAAGAAAATGATACACGACGATTTTCTATGCGTTGTGAAAGCAAGGTTAGTCACAGTTGAACTTCTTCACCGTCTTTCGCTGATAATAAAGGTCCCACAGCTATTGCTATTCACAACATTTACGAGGGGCGGTATGATTAACTTCTACTGGCGCGGAAGGGATTCCTTGAGGACATTCCGCTTAAGCTGCGTTCATACTTTGCGGTAGCGTCTACTAGTGAGCACCAGCGTCCACCAGCGACAATCAGCATTTCGAGCTCCGTTCGTCTCCAGCGAGTATTGAAGTATAGATATCAAACGAGTGAAAGGCAAGGTTCACCAGCGTCTATCAGCCTTCACCAGCGCCCACTAGCATCCGCCAGCGGCCATCGGCGTCCCGACGGACTGGGAATGTACGACTATCGATGTAGCGTCTACTTACCAACGTCCACCAGCGTCCGCCATGACCATCAGCGTTCTCGACGGAGACTATGCAAGAAGATATGGATATCGATCTAGCGTACTGCGCTAGGAGTAGAGGAGTAGATGGGAAGTAGGAGTGCAACTTGCTGATAGAGTATAGGAAGCAGGAGCGCACACGCGATTAGGTGTCGGTGAAAATGTGGCATGTGCAGCCGCACCGCACTACTACACAAGACTGACTGCTGGACGCTGGTGGAAGCTGGTAGACGCTACATCGATATCCATACTTTCGTAGTACATCGAGAGGCTGGTTATCGCTGGTAACGCTGGTGTGACGTGGCAGACGCTTGCGTATGACCGCTGGTAGACGGTAGATCGATATCCATGCTTTCCTAGCCCTCGAGTCGCAGATGGTCGCTGGTGGACGCGGTTGGTCGCTGATGCCCGCTGCCGTAAAGTATGAACGCAGCCTAACACGGAACGAAGATTCACAAAAGAAGAGTTTCGGCTCAGGGGGGGGGGTTGAAATTCAGCTAGTCTTGCTAGTTTAGTTTCCTGCATCTTTGGGCTTGTAAACTGCCTACAGCTGTAGCATTGGATGCAAAGTCAAATACGATATGTTCTATTGGCTTGCACGAGACTTTACAAGTCTTCATAACCAGGGAACGACAAAGTGCACCCCCTCCCCCCATCTTCACGGGTGGGGAAAGGTTACCGGTAGTATCGACCAGGATCGACCTTCTCTTAATCTTGGCATTGTTGTATCTTCAAGCAGGTGGATAGTTTGAGCCGTCCAAGATTTTTATATTTAATTTATTGGCCAACGTTTCGGCTTCCTCGCCTTCGTCAGGGCCTGAAGAAGTCCAAAACAATTGAGATTGTTCCCTCGAACGCCCCACAAGATCTTGGACGGTTAAAATCATCCACCTGTTACCGGTAGTAATGGAATTATTGGATCAAGAGTTCGATAAATAAAAATTGGTATGGGAAATCTTCTGTTTCTGCTGCAGAACTTTTTGCAAAATTACGATTACGTGATTCTTGAAAGCTTAGTATAATCCACAGAACCATTGAAGAACTGAACACAATTCACAGCCCAACGAAAACGTAATATGATACCAGACAATAATGAAAAAACTTATTTCATTACTCACGTAATTCTTTTTTACCGTGTCCTTTGCTTAACCACTCTCACACGAATACTTTTCAGAGTAAAGTCCGCTCAGCTACGTGGACACTTCTTCTGGTCTGCCTACTGTACCTCCTCGCTAATCTACCAAATGTCATTGTGACAGCTTGGGAATTCATCGACATGAAGTCTTTGCAGACTGAGTGAGTTTCTTGGAACTACTGCAGTAATCTCGCAATCCGGCGCCGCGCTGTCAGGAGGCGAGGACTGAGTCCACACAGGACACATTCCTACCAATATTGGGTCGTGTCAGGTAGAAAACAACCAGTGGCAGAAAACATTGCGGGAGAGCTCATTCCACGCCCTCTGACACCGGGACAGTATCAACAGTACTTCCTAATCGTGAATCATTTCAGGTTCTATGAAATTTATATGTTCTCGACGGATCTCGTCTCATTACTGGTCGTTACCGCTTGTGCCATGCGCCTGCCAATCTATATGGTATGCTTTGAATCCAATTCTAATTAGCTCTTCTCGGTACAGTCGTCCTTCCTCATCAGCCCTCTGACCATAGTGGGCAACATTAAGCAAAGACTCCCGGGGGCGGGCTTCTCAATGCCACAGTCAGGCTGCATTCATACTTTGCGGCAGCGTTCACTAGCGTTTCGCTCATCAAGCAGCTTCAGCGACTGGGAAAGTATAGATATGTCTAGCGTCAGCCAGTGTCTCCCAGCGTTCGCCAGCTTCTCCCAGCGTCCAGGAGAGGAGAGTATGGCGCGTTAGGAGAGCAGCAGACAGCTGAAAGAGTGTGGTCAGATGGAAGGGTGGCAGATTGCTGGTAGAGATCATGGCGCGATATGAGAGTACCAGCTGTCTGCTACCCTCCTCTACCGGACGCCGGCTGACGTTGCTGGATGCTCGAAACGCCAGTGGACGCTAGCGCAAAGTATGAACGCAGCCTCAGTGATGTCCTAGTATTATCACTGGTCTCTGACGCATGTTCCATTTCATTATTACTAATTTTCTATAACTTCAGCTGTGCAATCCTGAACTACGACGGGTGGTTACCCACACATTGCAGCTGCATGTGATGAAACCAAAGCTTAAGCCGTGTAAATCGGAATACTTGTAACTATTGCTCAGTGTAAATATTCTAATATAATGATATATTATGTATGATTTATCGAATGAAAATTTCAGATTTTTCTGATCATTGTGATTCGTTCCACACTTATGACTGACCACAGGTCAGAAGTAAGTTAGAGCTTCTGGGGACGGCGACCTTCTTCCTAAAGATTAAAGGCACGGTCCGCGATCAGGTATAGAAGTTGAAAATATGGCGTCGGGAGGTAGTGTGGTCCGCGACGAACAACCTTGTACCGGTTTCGCGGCAAAAAATTGTAAGGGAGGGGCGCTATAGCGCAATATAGGTTCAGTGACGCCTCCTTTTTCCAGTGACTCCACCTCCAGACTCCGCAAGTCCCGCCTTTTGATAAAAAAACGAAGTTGCAGGACGAAAAGCATGAAAATCGTTACTTGTACGGTCGTAGAATTCCTGTCGGAGAATCAGCTCTGCGGATGAAGGCATATGTTGGAGATGGAGTTAGTTGGGCACGTGCAAACTGTGATTGGAATGGAGTTCTATCTAGGGTACTAGCATGTTTTTTCTGCTTTCTTCTTCACTATCGAGTTATTCAGAGCCTTGTCGTCTATGTGAAAACTTCGAATCCACTACCTGTGACAGCGAATGATCGTGGGCTTTGCCTTCGTCAGCTAGTTGGGATTTTCGCAACACGGCTGGGATATATCAGGAGCACCAGCAGTGGTTGGTTGAGGAATGAAACGACCTGTGATGGAAAACGCCACCGCTGGGCTCATTCCACGCCGAGTCGCTCCGATATCAAGTGCATGGAAAGATTGCATAATCATCCTATTAAGGACACAGCTTAAACTTCATCGTTGAGTCGTTGGGGGCTAGTTGGGGGGGGGGGCGAGCGTTGATGGACCAGACTCAATTGTGAGCGCGGCGGACCAGACAAGTTCTCTTGCCTGCCGCCCTGTCTACTTCTCAGCCTTATCTATGATCTGCTTTCTGCCGTCGCTCTCACAACCAGTACCCAACACTTACCCTGAACACTTACCTCCAAGACTGAGCTATGTTCTGATATCTGAGCTTTCTATAGAGAACTGACTCTAGAAACGCTGCACTGCATTCGATTCTCCTTGGGAAGGAGTTCCGTTCTGGATTATCAAACTCTAGGCTAGTGTTGTGCCGATACGAGCCCCAGAAGGAGAAGAAAATTGATCACAACTGGAGCTGTTCAGGAGTTCGATGTGCGGGGCACCCCAAAGGCAATGGATTCACATAAGCTATCCTTTCAGAATCTTTTTCAATTTCCGTTTCTGTCACCTTCACTTCCTAGCGATCGGGGAAGGAATGAGAGCCACCAGATACAGATTGCGGCGGCGCTGCTAATCGACATTGCGAGCGAAGTCTGCTTCGGGAGCTAACTGGAAGCAAAAGCATTACGGTACCTCGGGTACCTGAGTCAAAGCTTAGGAACAGGGTTGCGCGACAACTGAAACTTCTGGTGAGGGTCCTGCTGCGAAAGGCCCGGGCGCAGAGAAACAAAGAACTGCGGCCGACAAGGCAGCTACAAGAAAACATGGCGAGCCAGGAGAGGACAAAGGGGTGGATGGCCCACTTATTATGCGTCAAAAGTTGGAAGATGAAAAGTTAGAGCGGACACAGAACGCTATTAAGACATGAGATCGCAGAGGAAAACAGAAAGTTGGCGCCATAAAGGGATTGAGTTTTAGTGTCCGCAGAACTAGGAACA